ACTGCTTTCCCTGCATCCGCAGAGCTAGTTATCTCATCATAGAAGGCAATCAGGTTGGTCAGTCATGGTGAATTCATGCTGACTGTTCCTAGTCACCTTCTTCTCCTCCAAGTGCTTAGAAATGGATGCCTTGAGGACCTGCTCCATGATTTTTTCTGGGGACTGAATTGAGGCTGACCAGTCTGTAGTGCCCTGGATCGTCTTTCCCTTTCTTAAAGATAGGCACTATATTGCCCTTTTCCAGTCGTCTGGGACCTCCCTGGATGGGGCAGATATAAATTATATTTCTTGGCAATATAATTTGCCTTGAATCTCAGAAACTGCATAATGTGTGCAAAGGTGATCACACTGGAGTTTCCTGGTGTGCTACTCTCCCAAAACATGCTATGTTTGTAGGTGTGGGGAGAGGAGTGTGCTCACCAGGGCAGCTGTGGACTTAGACTGAGCAGCAATGTCAAAGCCACCACAACAGGACTGGCTGTGTTTGAGGATTTGGTCAGGTTTGATACCTGACTGAGGCCTTTGTGTTCTAGAGGAGGTTCTCTCAACCTGGTCTGGGTTCCCCAGGATGAGGTGTGCTAAGTGGGAAAGGTGGCATTGGGTGATTCAGCAGCTGAAGTTCTGGAGGGGTTGGCACTGAGACAGCCAAGCTCTTAGCTTACTGTTTGGGGGCGTGAGGTAGGGTTTGTGTACTTCACATGAAATGTGGCTGTACGCCTACATAATCCAGACTGTGTGTGTACAGGTGGGAGGTAACTGCTAGCAAAGGCAAACAGGGGCTGAATTGCCCAAACTCAAGAGGGGATACAGTTCTGAGCAGAGACTTGGACCATTTTGTTTCACTATATTGAGTGGAACCTCATGACATTGCTGGAAGCTGACCCTGATGATTACTAATGACACCTGGCTCAGAGAAGGAAGAGAGGGTGCCTTCAAACAGCCAACGTACTCCTGGGCTCTGAAGTGAAATTGTTGGTGGTAGTAGAGTTTACTCCAAGGATGCAGGTTTGGTCGTTTGGTGTATGCACAGAGGGAGACTGATACATAACTAGAAGGGAACATGAAAAGATGGAGAAATCTAGGAGTGGGTGAAGGAGACAAAGGCTTGGAAGGCATGTAGGGGGGAGCTGCAGGAACAGAGCTGCCAAGCATGCTGAAGGGAAGACAAAGAAGACTAGTAAAAAAAATGTGGCAGAGAGGGAACTGCATCTGCTGGGATGTTGTGGGCTCCTGGAATAGGGCAGCTTAATCATCTCAGTGGACTGCTTGCTCTGTTCTGGTCATGTTCCCTTAAAGTTGTCGGTTTCTCTGAGGTCTTGGCAGCTCCCCACAAGCCATGCAGACCTCCCTGTTGCATGACCAGTTACTCCAGCCAGGAGGAAATGCTCTGATCCCTCTGCTATCAAAATGGAAGTTACAAGTCAGAAAGGTATTCCTGCAGCTAGGGACTTATACACCTCCTGAGGGAAACCCCCTCAACTGTGGCACATAAATAGCTATGAGCAGATAAACATAAATCCATCAGCAATGCTGAAAAACTAGGGGCAAAGCATCCTCCTGCTCGACTTGTGTCCTGGGAAAGCCTGGAGGGTCCCCCTAGGCTAAGTGCACCCCAATCCTCATGCCCACCCTTTGGGCACATGTGTAGCACCTTCTCAGACTGTCTCCAAAAACTTTGCACACCTCACACCCGGATAGTGCCCTGTGAACCTAAGGGCTTTGTTCCCATTTGACAGATGGTAAAACTGAGGCCGAAAGCGAGAGAAGGGGGTGTGGGGAGGCTGCAAAAAGACCTCCGCGCCAGCCCCGGAAAACGGCCACCTCGCCGTTCAAAGAACTACAGCTCCCAACATGCCCCGCGGCACATGCGCACCCTGCCTTCCTATGGATTGGGAGACGGGGCCAGCCCGGCTTAGAGCTGGGCCAATCAGAGAAGGGGGAAGGCGGACCAATGGGAAGAGCCGCCGGCGGATTTGAACGAGGCTCGGAAAGAGAGGCTGGCGCTCAGGTAGGAGTCGGGTGTGCGGCCGTTAGTGGCTCCCGTGGCTGGGTGGGGGCTGTGGAGCCCCGTGGGGGCGGGGGAAGTGCAGCCGGCTCTGCTGTGCCGGGGCCTCGCGCTCCGTGGGGGCTGAGAGCGGCTGATCGGACAGGCCTGTTCCCGGCGACAGTGTCCCTGGCTCGGCCAGCCCCAGACGTGGAGTCGTGAGACGCTCCGCCCGCCGGCAGGGCACGGCCTCGCTGGAAACACAGGCCACCGGAGCGGGGATGGAGGGTATATGCATGTCCCCACACACATCTTTTCTATCCAGGTGGTCTGTTCAGTGCGTCTGTGCCCTGCCTGTGGGCTGAGCAGCTCACAACTCCGTGTTACATGCACACGTGTATGTGTGTGTATATTTGTATACATGCATATATAGAGAGAGAGAGGAACACCCCCCATGTAATTAGTCTATAAAGGTGACTATCTACCCTATATACACATGTCCATGCACAACACACATCCACACACCCTGCCTTAGTCTATATAGGGTAGGTCTGCACCTTTTATAGACTAAATAAGAGGGTGCATGTATGTGTATGTATATGTGCAAGCAAGGTTCTTTGGGTAGCTGGGATATCTTTTATTAGACCAACTAAATAGTTGGGGGGAAAGTTTGTTGCAAGCTTTTGGGCAGAAACACCCTTCTTCAGGCATAAAGAGAATCTGCTGCTGATATGAGTCCTCCAAGGCAGAAAAAAAGCTAAAGTAAACAAGAAGTCTGAAAATGCAAATGAGCGGAAGTTTAGAAAACAGGGCACAGTGTGCCTGTGTGTGTGTCTCTCTC